GTTTTTCCACTAGGAGCGACCACTTTTGCATACAGCACACACAGTCATTTAATCAATTTATTTAAAAAATGATTAAATAGCAGCTTTAAAGGTGGGTCCTGTGTTATTTCCTAACCATTAGATCTGGTTTAAGACCTTTATTATTTCAATATTGTGCTTACATGGTGCAAATTCCTACATGCTTATTTATGTTTTTATTTCCACACAGCAAATCCGGTTCAAATTCAAGCATAGGAATACTGGACACATTGCAAAGAAAGTGGAAGAATGGCAGGTTAATCTGGCTATGGATAAGATTGGGTATACATTTTTAATCTTAACTTCAACCCTAAACCCAAGCTTTAGCCTTCTGCTGTCCTTCCTTTAGACTTTCCTCTTTGTTCTGTCATTTTGAGGACAGAAGAACAAGAAGGCAAAGACACAGACTGCCCGCACTTTGCTAACCACCACCCTGGCTGTGAAAGCGTTAAGCGCTGCAGTAGGGGAGGCTCCCTGCCCCGCCTCCCCTGAGCCTATTTGCATATCGGGCGGGAAGCTCTGGCTCTTTGTTGCTGCTGAGCCCAGCCAAAATCCCCTCCCACAAAACGCCGCACTGGCGGGAAAAAGCCGGCTCCAGTGCTTAAACCACTGACAATGGAGAAACCCAGAGACACACACACACACACACTCACACAAACTCCCTCTTTGTCTCACATATAGTACACTGCAGAGAGTACATTTCTCCCTGTGCACGCACACACACACGCACGCACACACCCAGGCGGCTGCATTGTTGGTCCTTTATGGTCTGGCACACCCATTTCCTGGCTGAGAGCAAAGGTGAAAACAAGTGGACAGACAGATAAATGAGAGAAAAAAAATGTACAGGAGGACAGAGGAGAGGAGTTATGATGATGTGAAGGCAGATGAGACACACACACACACACACACACACACACACACACAGAGAGATACAAGGCCAAAGTGTGTGAGGATTGAGACAATGATATTTATGTAGCCCACCAGACACAATACATCAAGGGTAAGCAGCTTTAGCACATTAGTTAAATACGTGAAAGCAGTATGTGCTCTGTCTCTGTGTGCCCTCCTAAGTGTTGCCCTGGGAAAAGAGTTCACTGGGTTGCTGGAAAAACAGGAAGGCATGTCATGCTCTGGATTGGGGAGGGTAGAAGACGGGGAAAAAGTACCGAGCGGCCCCCGCATTACATAACCGGGCAGGAAACATGCAGCGCGCAGAGAGAGAGAGCGAGAGAGAGAGAGACTATATGTAGCCATGCATACACTGCACCTACGACACTTTCCTCAGAGGCTTTTCACATCTAATCACATCTCTTCCTTTCCTCGTCCTTCTGTCGCTTTATTTATTTATTTATTTATTTTTTACAGAGGCCACTACAGGAGCCAGACAGCGCAACAAAAAGAGAGACAGGGAGCTGCATAAACTCACTGAACCTCACTCGTCCCTATAGACACACATCAATAAATGATGGTCTGCACTTGGCTCTGGATGCAAACATCAGATTGCATTGAAACTGCCTAACATCGTCTCTGGGCTGGATTAGGCTGCAACACACTCATCCGTCATTGTGCAGCTCTGGCCTTGTGTGTGTGTGTGTGTGTGTGTGTTCCATAATGAATATATAAACAAACACACACAAGCACTAGAGGGGACAGCAGGGGTTGTGGCGTGTGTTTCTTATTATATTGCTAATATGAAACATGCCAAAAAGCAGACACACTTGTGTGCGCACACACACACACACACACACATAACAACACAATGCTCCCTTATGTGATTGAGTCACACCTGAGAGTGATGTGTTTCTCACTTCATTACACAACACCAATGTTTTGAATTGTCTTTGTCCTCTTCCTGACAGACAGCAAAACACTGACCCTGAGCAGGGGAAGTTGCATGCAGGGAGCCGCACACACACACAATCTTTGAAAGACTATAAATGACAAAATAATGTCACGGGGCACAAATAAGAGCACTTGGTATACTCTGTACTCAGGATATAGCTCAAATAAAGTCGTGCACATAACAGCTGGCTGCCTGATAGTTGAACTTTCACCACTCTTCTGTCTTGCCTACGGTGACAAGAAAGGTTTCACATTCTTAAAGTCCTTCACGTTCTACATCTACTGGGAGATTATAAGTATGTGTCGTGTCTAGTGTTCTGCCACTGCCAAAGATTTGGCCTTCTGTATTATCTATAAACAAACATGTTTACTGTCCACAGTAGCAGAAGTGATACATCTCATAAATAGAAGTGTTTTCTTGGTAGCCAACACTGTCTTCGACTACAGCTGATTAAGTTGCTTGCATGTCAGTCTGCATGTGTGTAGGTGTGTGCAAGTGTTGTTGTTTTTTTTGTTTTGTCTCGCCAGGGCCAGATGGTAGAGAATGTTTAGTCAAATGGGATTAGAGATTAGGATTAAGTGGACTTCAAATTACCTAGACGCACAGTCACTGGATGACACACTACTACTGCAGAGCTCTGAGGCGGAGAGGCCCTGCAAGTACAACAACACAGACGGTGTTAAACATCATTAGCACACAAACTGGGACTAGTTAGGGGGGAAACCCCCTAAAAATGTAGCTTGACTGTCTCAAGAGTAAATTCAGGCTACGTTTTTACTCACAACTACCAGTGCAGAATTGATGAATTTCTGAAAGAAGTAGTTTGACATTATGGGAAAACACTTACACCATTATTCACTTTCTGGCAGAGTTAGATGGGATCATTGACACCACTCTCATATCTGCGTTAAATATGAAGATAATTATCTTAGCACAAAGTTTATAGCTCTGTCCAGCACCACTTGAGCTCACCAATTAACACAATATACTCTATATTGTTTGTTTAGCACATATAAAAACTGAATGTGTAAGCTAACCTGCTACTGGCTGTAGCTAAACATTTATTGACACCTATGGGTGGTATTGATCCTCTTATGTAACTCCTGGAAAGAAAGGAAATCAACGCATTTCCCACAATGTCAAAACCATTTCTTTCATTGATGTAACAAATTATCAAATTCGGGCCACTAAAGATTTTTTTTTTTAATGATTAATCCGTTAATCGGGTGGGACTTCGATACCGCAGCTGCAACCCCGATCACTACTGCGCAGACTCTGGCTCCAAATGGGACCACCAGTGCAAGATGGCAGTGCCCGTATCCGGGATATTTTGGCTTCATTTCCGTACAGTGGGAAGAAGGAAAACTATTTACCGATGATAAAATCATCATTATCTTTTATCTATCACGATACAGACTAGGCGATATCTCACAAGTCGATTTAGTCACAAGTATTCATTTGCAGCATACATTGGTGTTGCTGTACATGCAGTAAAGTCTGTACCAGAGGCCAAAACTCAACAGGATAGCACAGGCACAGATGCAGACAACAAGCAACTATAGGATGCAGCGTATGTTACATAAGTCAGCCTGCAGTTCCCCCACATAGGGCCTCATGTATAGGACAGTGTGTGCTCTGTGAACATAGGGCAGGACTGGGCTGAGAGAAGGAAACGGAAATAAAGTGCTAAAACTGGGTGAAATATTGTGCTTACTGATGCAGCTATACATATAAACACACACACCCACACACGCATACACAAGAACACTAAGCTTGCTCGAGTAGAAGCACTCATCAAATCAAACACTTAAGAAAGCAGAGAAACACTTTTAGAGCATTTATTTGTGTGTGGGAGGCCATAGCTGCATTTTAAACTGGTTTGGTGTCTTGATTCTTTGTGCTCACTGTCTGCAGCTAATGAGTTTCCTCAGTGCATGTAAGCGCATGCGTGTGTGTGTGTGTGTGTGTCCATAGATGATCCACTGTAAATCACTAATTAGCCTTGTGACCGTGGATGCTGCCCTAGTTCTCCACTTCTAAGAGTGTGTGTGTGTGTGTGTGTGTGTGTGTGTGTGTGTGTGTGTGTGTGTGTGTGTGTATGCATGGGTCAAGGGGCTGAAGCCTTATGTCACTCAATTGCGCAAGCTTTCTCCTTTAAATGAGGAGTGAGTCAGCAGTGTCTGGAGGTGCCAGGCCAGACTCACTGAGGCGCTCCCGATAAGAACATTCCACATGTAAAAGTTGCCCAATATAAAAGTGAATTATATGACTGATGATAACATGTATTCTTATTCAAAGATTCTTCGCATTGTTTTTATATTCACAGAAAGAGATGGGTGGGGGGAATCACTGGAGGGGAAAGACAACAAAGCAGTTGTATGTCTGATTTTAAAAAAGTGCAACAGAAGGAGAGAAAAACTAACCATCCAAACACAGAAAGGGTTATAAAAACCAGATGCCAGTTGCACAGTGACCTTTGCCATCAGTGTGACTCTCATACTGTATGGTAAGCCCCCAGTAAGCTTGATGCCTGACCCAGTTTGGAAAGAGAGAATGTGGGACACACACACACACACACACACACACACACACACACACACACACACACACACACACACACACACACACACACACACACACACACACACACACACACACACACACACACACACTTCCAGCTATTATATGGCTGGAAATATTTTTAGTCATGTGGACGAGGTCAAACACTGGGAGCCTGTGAACTAACGCTGTACTGAAAGAATACATCTTAAGACTAGGACTGAACGCATAAAGAAAGACATGGAGTGTTAGCTGGGAATGAGGAACAATTTTTTGATTTTCCTAGGAAAGGAGGTGTGTGTGTGTGTGTGTGGGGGGGGGGGGGGTTGGGGTTGTCATGGTGTGAAGAAAAAGTGGCAGGTGAGGAGAGGGAAACGGAGCGCCAAAAGAGGCCTTTGGAGCGATGCCCGGTATTGTGTGGTTTTCTAGCACGCAGGCACACCTTGCTTTGAAAGGGGTACGACACGTTGCTGGATAAACAAGGACCTGTAATCACTGTTGTGAAAACACAAAAAAATGAAATTGGGCTAACAGGGAAAGACAACAGCACAAATGACCAGTCATTATCACACAAAAGATCTAGAAAAACATATTTAATGACAGTAAAACAAGGTGGCAGCAGGCAACCAGCGCACCAAACTTTGTGCTATGTAAGCATGCCAATGAGGTCTCACTAGGATAATCTGCCGCTGATGTCGTGTGAAAACTCCAAGTCCAATTTTCCTTTTTAACTTAAGTGATTCAAAGCACATCACCCTAAACTGGCTGAGACACAAGCCTTTGGTTTATTGAACATATCTCAAACAAAATGGATGAAGTTAAAAGTGCATGGTGGCTAAGACAAAGACAGGGCAAAGAAACTTTGATCCTGAAGTCCTGCAGCAGTATGAAAGATCGCCAAATCGTTTAAGGCACGTTCTGCAAAAACAGAAAAAAAAACTCTTTCAGCTTAAAATAGATTTTCAGGCACTGGCCCAAAAAACGATTCCTTAAAAATTATAGTTCTTTGGCTGCACGCGCCATAAAACATTGATCACACACAATTGATCTTTTTGAGTCCACAATGTTGACCATCATCTCAACTACAAAAATACCTATCTTCTTTGTCTTTGACAGGTCCCTCATCCCATTCAAAAAGAAATACTTTGCTGAAATACTTTGCTGCTGCTCAATTTTCTGATTTGTCAAAGAGACATTTTGAATCTATGGGAAGCATGAAAGTAGCACTATAAGCACCATAAGGAAAAATCCAGCTGTTAGTGCAGAGCAGTGGTAGGTAGAGATGTACAGTATTTAGTCCAGAGTCTGCACAACTCCTAAAAAGCCACAGGTACTTCCTCATGTGTCCTCCTGGTGTCTTGAGAAGACTCCTGAGAGGTTTCACTGCAGCCTGAGGCAACAGTAGCACCAGAGTCCTTTGAAAGGCTCTCCGCGATCTCTGCAGCAGAGGGAGGAGGTGCAGTGGTGACCTGGGACTGGTCACAGACTGGTTCAGACTTCCTCTTCTTCCTCACATGATAGTGATGCTTTTTGGACTTCAGGTGAGCTGTGGGGAAAGACAATAAAACACTGTTGGATACATTTGGCACAAGACCACACCGTTTCAACTCAGTGACACTTGTGGATCGTGATCCAAAATGAGTCATTCACAAGAAAAATAAGTAGAAACTCTGTGTCAAAAGGTAGTTCTACAGGCGAGCATGTTTGTCATCACTCTTTATGGCATTTTATAGCCCTTGGAATCTCATAACATCTGGCTCTTGTCCCTGACCCTGAACCTAAAATACTGAAGTGGTTTGTATGGTGTGATATTTACAGTACAAGTAGAAATGGTTTGTCATGACATTAATACTTGAGGAACAAGTCATTCAAAGTGTGTACTGTCACTGTGTAAAAGTATTGACAGAAACCTGAAGGCGATTTCAGCATATACCAGAAACCGCTTTTACAGTGTATACACATTGGTGGCTGAATACAAACGTAAACATAAAAACGAACGGCACTTGATAAAAATGTCATATTGTGCGACGTGGGTCTACAGCCTCACCTGTCCACTCCAGGTCACCTATGATCACTTTGTCACACAGATCACATGAATGGTGGCTCCGTTTGTTTCTCTGCTCCGACCCCTGTACTCTGATTGGTGCAATAGCTGGCTCCTCACCCTGATTGATTGATTGAGCAAAAGAGTGTTTTGTTAGGGTTTATTATTGCTATTATTCACTTTTTTCTTGCATTCAGTGTTGCTCACCAAAAGATATTGTGTGTATCTTTGAGGTCTGACAAATGTGTTGAATGCATTTCCTTTCTAATAAAACAACTGCAAAGCTTGTTTTTAAAAAAACATATTTAAAATTTTTGCATTGTTTACATCCATGTTCGCTAGTTAGCAGCATAGTTAGCAGTCTTTGTTGATGCACTGCTTTGTTTGTTGGCATGTTACTGCCACTGTCAATCAGCACAATAGCAGAAAGCCGGCGGCAGGATGTGAATAATGCACCTTTGTGTAAGATACAAACAAAACAGAAACCCATTGTAAAAACCTTGCTCCTACAATAATAGAGTGTTTATGAAATAATGGGTTTACTTATTAAGTAATACCTATGGAGCAGGATATAAAAGCAAAATTAAGCAAAGCCAGAGTCTGGTGAGAAAGGGAGGGAGGGAGGAAATGAAGCAACTGAAGATAAAAAGAAGCTGTGAGAATAACAGAATGAGATGAAAAAGATGAGAGGAAAAGACATAAGAGACTAAAAAGAAAAAAATAATCAAATTAAAGTGGCAGTCAATAATAATTGAACACTACAACAATCCGCGTCTCTCTCTGCGGCTCATATCACTCCGCTAAGCCCCTCCCACCAAACAAGAAGTTGTTTCTCAGACATTGTTCTTGCAAAACTTCTGAAGCCGCACTGAAGATATTGAGCTTAACTGAGTAATGGCTTCATGCACGGTGAAGGGGGCTGTGCAGCGTGTGCACGAGCAGTGATTGACACTGCATTAGAGACTCCTCCTGGCTCTTATTGGTTGTTTAAACTCAGGCGCGGTAGAATTTTTGCAAATGGCATCAGGGGCACTAAGAGGAACCAACTGATTTCTTCCCACAGATTATGTGTCACTATATCATGTACTACTGTCAATGATATAGTGAAAGTTTCAGCAAATAAGACAAAAAGTTTTTTTTATTTTTTTTATTATAAAAGTTACCTAGTGAACCTTGAAGAAAAAAATAAATAAATAAATAAATAAAAACAGGAAGGAAAAGTTGAAAGAATTGGATAAGGTACAATAGTATGGGGCTGAGATGGAAATGGAAGAAATTAGGACGTAGGGAGGCGGGAACAAAGGCAGGTAAAAGAGGGAAGTAAAGTGAAGGAAAAAGGAGAACATGAGCAATGGAGAAAACAACCAACTAAACAATGGAAAGAGGCAGAATGATAAAGAATACAGGAACAAAAGGGAGCAAAGAGGGATGTAGATCGTTTTTATCCCAACAGCAGATGAAAGCTGCTGACAGCAGGCAAGTTTAGATTACTGAGGCCCCACCTTGCTGAGACTGTCCAGTATCTGAAGTGCAGGGTTCAGCACGTTCTCCTCCCACCTCGACACATCAGTCACATCCAGGCCATACACCACTGGCACGTTGTCTCCCGGTCCTACACGCACACACACAGGTCAAACACACACAGTTAGCAAACATTATGTGTTTTACAAGGCCAACACAGGGCTGCCAATAAATGTAATGAAGGCTCTTAATGGCTAATACATTGATTCAGTGTTTCCACATTTATTTTTATGGGACTTAGAAAAAAGGCTCCAAAATGAGCGGCATTATATCAGAGAGGATGAGGCAGACTTCAGGATGAATACAGTACAAACTGGGAAATGTACAGTAGCAGTGATGATTCTGGAGCCGCACCCTGAAGCTCTGTCAACCTGCTGACTCACACTGGCTCGATAATGTCTCTCCTTCCTTCCTCCCACCCTTCTCTCTTGTGCACCATCTCTCTCTTTCTCTCTCGCCATCAGTCTCGCTCCGGCTTTCACTCACTCTCCCGTTCTCCCCCTCCCTCCCTCTAACTGTTCCACCCCCGTGTTTCTATTTTGCATCAGTCAGCAGTCTCCGGGCCAGGCCTCAGCACTAAACAGCAGCACCAGTCCCTGCCCTGCGTGTCTCTGTGTGTATGTGGGTGTGTATGTGTATCTGTCTGTCTATCTGCCTGCATCGAGAGCAACTGCCCTGCACTGATTGAAGACATGCAGATGCACAGGAAACTGTAACTTGCAGAGAGACTGACTTCAAACAACTGCAACTGAATCTAAACAGTCAAAGTGTATGCATACATAATACATTTTTACCTACTAGAGCTATAAATCAAGAACATATATAAAATATGTGAACAGAAAATACAGGAACTTTTCAATAAAATAAAACAATAATATAAGAAAACAAGCAAGCTGTGAATTAGCATAATTTATGCTCTCGTAATTTATGCTCATAGCTAACGTGTAGGCTCTGAAGTAGGGCTGGGCGATATGGCCAAAAATTTTATCATGATAAAAGCATTTAATTTCATTCGATATCAATAATTATCACAATATATGTCAAATCATTATTTCTTTCATGTTTAAAGGCTGATTTTTACTCCTGACTGAAAATTGAAGAAACCAGATGTTGGTTAATTATGTAGTTAAACTTTCCTTTATGGTCAGAACATTTGATGCCAAACAGTGGATCACTTAACAAATCTGAGGTAGAACATTCAAAACTGTTATATAAGATCTTTTTCAACAAATATGATTAGTAATTGTTTTCAGTCCCTTTTCCTTAAAAAAGTAAATATTTTAATGAAAATATTTTAAAAGTGCTAATTTGTCCGTGATTCAAATGAATTCAACCAAATATTTTATACTGTTAGAGGAAAATTATATTGCGAATTCATTTTTGTTTTATTGTCCAGCCCTACTCTAAAGCTACGAAGTACTTGACGTGTGCCTCCTCAAAAATATAACTACATATTAAGGCCAAAGCAATGATGGAAATACTACATGGGGGCAGCAAGAACTGTGATTGATCAGCTTTCACCGTTTGTGTTTACTCCTACATGTTTATGACGCAGGTGCAGATTGTTCAAAGTGAACACAGCATAAAGTTGTAAACGGTTATCTTCTACATTTAAGTAACAAATCAGTTTCTGCTGATAGCAACATCCAATTTCTATCACAGTGAATAAAACAACATAAACGAGGCAACCACACGGAATAGTTTTATGTTCAGTAACAAAAAAAAGGCCCTTCCTGCCATGGTTGGTATCACAAAGTGAATGAAAGAATGTAAACACAGTTATGGTTGGAAATATAATCAAAACTCAACAGGTATGTATCACGTATCACTACGTATCACTATGTTTGCATCGTCCACCATCTTAGTTTACTGCGTTAGCATGCTAACATAAAAACTCTGACCTGATGGTGGTGCTAGAGGAAAGGTCAAGGGATCACCAAAGTCAGTGGGATTCATCCTGTCTGTACAAACTATCTGAATATACACTCACAGGCCACTTTATTGCTTGTTAACACAAATAGCTAATCAGCCAATCTAAAGTACTTATAGGCAAGTCCAGCAACTTGGCAGCCATCTTGGCAACGCCTCTGGACAGTTATTTTGGACTAATAAGACCAGGCTCCTATCTAAAGGAATGGGGAGAGAGCCATAACAGCACTTTCACTGTTCACCAGGACATAAATGTAAGGAATCAGCAGTAAAATCAGATCAAAATCGTAGAAAAAGTTTGATAACTTTGCTCCAAAATAAGGTTTAAAAAGGCAACAGTAACGGAAATAACCACTCGTTACAACCAAGGTATGCAGAATACCATCTCTGAATGCACAACACATTGAACCTTGAAGCAGATGGGCTACAGCAGCTGAAGACCACACTGGGTGCCCCTCCTGTCAGATAAGAACTGGAAACTGAGGCTACAATTTGCACAGGCTCACCAAAACTGGACAATAGAAGATTGGAAAAACGTTGCCTGGTCTGATGAGTCTCGATTTCAGCTGCGACATTCAGATGGTAGGGTCAGAATTTGACATTAACAACAAGAAAGCATGGATCCATCCTTGCTAGTATCAATGGTTCAGGCTGGTGGTGTAATGGTGTGGGGGATATTTTCTTGGTACACTTTGGGTCCCTTAGTACCAATTGAGCATCATTTAAACGTGACAGCCTTCCTGAGCATTGTTGCTGACCATGTCCATCCCTTTATGACCACAGTGCACACATCTTCTGATGGCTACTTCCAGCAGGATGATGTACCATGTCACAAAGCTCAAATCATCTCAAACTGGTTTCATGAACATACCATTGAGTTCACTGTACTCCAGTGGCCTCCACAGTCACCAGATCTCTTTCCAACAGAGCACCTTTGGGATGTGGTGGAACGGGAGATTCGCATCATGGATGTGCAGCCGACAAATCTGCAGCAACTGTGTGATGCTATCATGTCAATATGGACCAAAGTCTCTAAGGAATATTTCCATCACCTTGTTGAAAGTATGCCACGAAGAATTAAAGCAAAAATGTTAAAATATTCTTCCAAACCTTGTTATGTGGCAGAAAAGCATGAAAGCTATGACAGCCAAAGTTAGTACAATTATATCCAATATGAGTTGCATAAAAGCAAATATAAATAACCAAGTGTCAAACAAAAGGGGATACAGTAACATTAAAACCTAACATTAAAGTCTCTGAGGAATGTTTCAAACACCTTGTTGAAAGTATGCCACGAAGAACCGACCCACTGACAGACCACCATATTCATCCACAGAGCCTAAAAATAAAAAAGGACACAAAGCTGGATCTGGTCACGTGTATTTTTCCATTTAATAGCAATGTGTTAAGCACATACACCCATGTAAATGAATCCCATTAACCTCTCAGGTACAACTCAATTATGGCTTAATCCTTTCCTCACACAGACTCAACTGTGGAGTTGAGGGCAGCAGGCACCCTGTAGACTGGAGTTACTAACTCTACTGGGAACTGTCTGGGACTCCATTATTAGAGAAAAACAGAGTGGTAACTGTATAACTGGCCATCTTTACAACAAACTATATTGACTCCGTCAGAGCAAGGAGTGAGTGTGAGTGGGAACAATGAGTCTTCACACAGCTCCGCCTGAGAGTTATAAACTTGAATTTTGACCCTGTTCTTGGCACCAGCCACATTTTAACTTCTTCTGGTGTAATTTTGCATATTGTTGCTTTAATTTATCATCAGCCAAACGTGCTGTATTTCATTCATCTCCTGTCGAGGACAGATTTTTACCTAATAAAAACATGAACACAAAAAAAACGATCTTTAGTGGCAATGCCCAAGCACTCCTGCACCTGCATCATTTGACTCAAGTATGCGTTTTCTCTGTTTCAAATAACACACACTGTGCATGTGTGTTTACACAGTCAGACTGTAGGTCAGTTCGTTAGTGTTTGTTTTTAAAAATAGCAGTGACTGTTAATCAAAGCCTCTGGTTTCACTGGCGTGGATACAGTGAGTGTGTTTATGTGCGTCAGAGGGGAAGTCTTTTGTGTTTGTGGCACAAAAGCAAGCAGGTGGTGGTGGCAAGCGTCACCTGGCATACCTATACCAGATGCAGAGTTGGAGCTCTCTCTCCCTTAGGTGCTCTAATAAATACTTCACCTCGCTAGCCGCCCTCCTGTTGCTGCTATCTCCTTCCTTCCTTTTATCTCTCTCAACACCATCCTTTTGCATCCACCAACCTCCCACTGGGCAGAGTGGAGTGGTGGTAAATAAAAGACAGATAGTGTGTATGGTGGACTACCAGATGCTGGATGGATGGATTCTTGTTTGGGATCTGGTGAAATTTAACTCGGCTAATCCACTCTTTAGTGAATGGGAGTTGATAAGAAATGCTGAAGGGAACAAAGAGCACGGTGGCCAAAACACACACACACACACACCACAAGTTGCTTATCAAACACACACGTGGAGCCCTGCCAACAAGAAAGAGCATCTCCTGTTGCCGGGCAGCTGCTTGCCAGTGTCGAGTGTGTGTGTTGAAACAGTAGCCCAACAAACGGGCCAGGAGTCATTTGCTGCATTATCCCTGTGTTTGCCGAGTGAGGATGTGTGCCTGTGTGTGCTTTGCTATAAAAACTAGACCACCAGTCTCAGTGCAGCGTCCCCCGGCCCAGCTGTGCTTCTTTGGCTGTCATCCACACTGGAACACGACAGCTGCCTCCATTCACTCAACAGCCTCCTTCCTCTTTGCTATAGTTCCTCTTCCACTTTTTGTCTCCCTTACCTCCTTCTGTTGTTCATGTTTGACATTTCTGGATGATTTAAGGGTATTTCTGTAGATTTGGCCAAATTGATCTTTCTTTTTATCTGGCTGCTGGTTGGCTATGACCGAAGGAATCCAATACCCCTATCTATAATCTGAGCTTTCACTCCCCCCTCCGTTATGGAATTTCTTCTGCTGATCTATTAAAGCTGCTATAATCAATATTTCTATATTAACAATTGATCATATGACTGCTTGGATGTGAGAAATTCACTTGTAGTGATGAAGACAATGATCATCCAACTCTGCAGTTCTATTCAGCTCTACAGAGCTGATTAAGCGTCTTCAGCTCATTGTTTTGGTTTAACAGCTTGGACTTTGCTGTTGTGGTTCGCACCGCTCTCAGAGTCATTTTCACACAGCAGGCAGCTGCTTTTAAAAGTGGATATGCTACATACCCAGCACCAAATGCAGATAGACAAAGTTAGCACCAGCAGCTAAAGAGACAGATATTTCCCTCAGGAGTTGGTAGAAAAAACAGAGCTATGAAGATTATTGGACCTGTATTCATCAGGTAGACATGAACTAAATGAATGCTAATGTTCTCCGTAAGTGCTGGAGCCCATATTAGTTTAAAAGATCATCATATGTCAATATTATGTTCACAGGTTCTCTCTGCTGCCCCCAGCCCAAAAAAGCAGATAAGTTTTTATTAAAATGTTGTTTTAAGTTTTAAGCAAAAGTCTGACAATATTAGAAAATTTGAAATGTGATTCGTGTTTGTTTCCAACTACCTTTGTGTGAATATATTCAAGAGAATGTAACAAGATTGAATAATTAATGAAAAAACTGTAATTCTGACACATCATGGCATTTTATTGCTGCTTCCAACCTAAGATGGCAGCTGTGCTTTTTAATGAATGACTGTCTCTTCTGATTCACATGTTCCCTGTGGTGGTTTTATGAGTTGCTATGGTGATAGAGAGGGGGGGTGACATGCAACGAGGGCCCCCCTCCGAACTTGAACCAAGGACGTTGCGGTTGCGTGCCCCTACGACACCCCTGCTATTTTCATTCTTTATTTACGTACTTTCCCATGGAGCAGACGCCTTTCTTCTCAATGTTTCTATCTCCATATATTGCATGGATAGAAACGTATCTACTACTGTGTCTCCTTTTAACCCTCTGTGTCATCGTCGTCTCTCTCCACCTAGTGGAGGTGACACAGAGGTCTTTGTGGTAAAAACAACCCTGGATTGACTCCACAGGGGGCGGCTGTTGCATTTGTGTGTGCGCGTAAATGAAAGCTTCACACTTGCTAGAAGACAAGCGTGTAAACTCACCCTGCACCTGTTGCCCCAGCTGGATCAGATTACCGACACTCTCCATCCACCCAGCTACCCATGTGTCATTCCTGTCTCTCTCCGTCTCCCTCCATCCATTCTTCACTCACTCACTGACTCTCTCGTGGGACTAAAAGATACCTACAGCCCCGTTACTTAACACTCATAGGGCCTCAGTCAAACTACACCTGCGTATGGTTTGGTTACAGGTGGAGTGCATATGTGCATGTCTTTAGGGAATTAAATAAAAACCAACAACTCTGAGGCCACCAGCACCCTCCGCATCAAATGTGGCACTTACTAAAATTAATACAACCTCAAATTACAATTTTCTTTATGGGTAATTAAATCTACTAATTAAACATTCTCCTATCACACACACATCGTATACCCATGTGCGTATACCCATGTGCGTATACACCGCGCACGCCCACATACAGAGGCGCTTAAAGGAAAGACAAATTGCGCTTCATTTAATCTTAGCAGGCTGACCTGGTGTTTAAATCCCCACAGCAACCAAAGTCGAGTCCATCAAGAACCACGTATCCTGCTGAGACGTATTTAAGACACAGAACGCCCACCTGCTTCCTCACAGACAGTTGCTGCTAAAAACTGGTGTAAAATCGAGTTAAACTTGTGCCTTTGAGGCATGTGATTCTGCATATTCTTGTATATTTACATGTATGATCCACATTCAGGTCATTTTAGAGCTTCTCTAGCCTACTTAATTGTGTTTCCCTGACTGAGGCGCTCATTTCCAATTCGCCTTTCCCTTTGACCCACTGGTCTCTGCGTGCCTGGGTTGGTGCGTGTAGCCCCCTGGTGACCCTGCTGCCCAAGTCTGTGTGGTCGGGGCAGATTCCCGGCAGCTCTGTAATGCTTCAAGAGATTAGCCTGCTCAGCTGAGACCTGCCGGCATCTGTGCACGGGCGTGTGGGACTCAGACGAAACAGAAAAGAGGTCAACAGTCACAGAAAGGGAGCGAGGTGAACAGAGATGACAGCGGCAGAAAGGTGGGGATTGGGGAAGAGCGGGGTTAAAGAGTAAAACCTTCGGTTATAACAATCCAATTTAACACTTAACCGCTCCCTCAGACGTAGAGGGTGAACACGGACGCCAGCAAGAATAATGTCCACTGGCACAAAGGAGCTCAGCCTCAAAAACTCAAATTTAACAGAAATCATCCTAAAAAGTTGTAGTCCCCGCTATGTAGTTCACTGCAGTACCTACATGGGTTTCTAGGGGGATAAAGTTTACATTCAGTCAGACGTTCTTGCTAGAGTTTTGCAGTTCCCAAACAACTCCAGCAGAAAAACGCAGGGTCGTCCAGCAAATCATCTGAACCTGATTCAACTTTTGCTGCAACCCAATGTGGTGTCATTCAGCAAGACACTGTGTGGGCAAATCTGTGCAAGCACACATTCCTAGTGGCTTACCTTATAAAATGAACGGTGATTTTCAGCGCATACCACTTCATAACCAACAGTTGTAACCATGCTTTGCAATTAAGTACTTCCTGGGAGACTTCATGGGACAGAGTTTTAGACTTTTAAGAGAGGTGATCTTGTCTGCTGCCACCTGTCAGGCCTGATGTTGCAGAACAAGGACCTGCAAACTGTTCTGTGTGCAAAAGCACAGACATCTTCAGATTACTGCATATGTAAAAGCAGAGGAACACAGATATACACAAACACATGGAAGACCATATGGTGTGTGCAGCGGGTAGGCAGGCAGTCAGAAAGAGGGGTATTGAGGTTTAGGGCCTGGCGTGGCCTAAGCCACTTGGGCCTAACAAGATTAGGAGGCTGGGTTACTGCAGGGCATACTGCTGGTGGGACACAGAGGCCAGGTTTCCGTTTGGGACAGAGAAACACACTCAGCCTTTACATACACTTTAAAACACATCAGACTTTCAGGGGTTGCGACTGGGGTGGGAAATCACCACCTGCCAAACACTTGTTGATTTTGGCTGCGGCGGTTACATCTATCCATTCTGCAGCGTCAGAACCAGCCACTAGTTCACTTGCATGCATCTGTTGCAACAAGGGTCTTAGCTGCAGGCGTATTTTGGGGATGGACCTTGAAACATTATCCCCTCTGTAACGTCACAGTAGCTCAACCACACTGCATAAAATCAAACCCAATTTTGTTCCAGGGAATAAACTAACTGGTGATTTTCCAAAATTTAAATATAAAGTGCCATCAAATGCTCTTAAGGAAACATGGACAAGTTTTCAGACCAATGTGTCATTGTGAGTGTGGAAGATCTTATTGCAAAAACTAAACTATTAAAGGAACAGTTCTTATTCGCTTTCTTGACAAAAGTTAGATTGGAAGGGCGACACCACTCTGGCATGCTAAGTATAAAGCTACAGACAGGAGAGCGTTGTCTCAGCTGAGCTTACAGACTGCAAGCAAGGGAAACAATTAGGTTGGCTCTGTGGGCCCATAACCCTCTGTAAATGACAACGACGACAAGTTGTCATTATTACACTTCAGTTTTCAAATAGACTGAACTAATGAGATATAACACGTTAATTAATGATATTTAGAGGCGCTAGTAGGCACATTTTGTTACCTTTTGACAGAGCCAGACTGGCTGTTTCCCTGGTTCCAGTCTTTATGCTGAGTTAAGCTGTCTCTTGGCTGTAGCTTCATATTTGGCATACAATCACAAGAGTGAGATCAATCTTCACAACAGAACAAAAAAGCATACTTCCAAAAATGTTCCTTTACTGATATGAAATATGAAGAGGCAGTAAATGTTTTGGATAAAATGACTCCTTGGAAAAGATTTTCAGTGAAAAATGGTAAAATCTGGATGATGAGTAACTAAAACTAAACTTTTTAAGAAAACTGTGATGATGTTCTTATTTGTTCGCAAACCCCCCCACCCTCAAAAAAAAACAAAAACAAAATCACAGAATGACTGTTTTGACACATGCGCGCGCACACACACACACACACCCACACCCCGTACCCTGGAATACAATACGGCATCTGACAGGCTTATTGTGTGTATAATGGAGTGCCTGAATCTCATCTTGTGCTGATTGCTAAGGGAACTGGACTGTGGAGGACAAACGATCACACACAACACACATACTACATGAGGTGGGTGAAGGAGTACTCACGTTTAAGGAAGCGGTTACGGACCCACTTATTCTGTTTGCGGGCGTAACGCCTCGTAGCAATCTTCAAAGCTTCTATGCCTAGACAGAGTTAAAACGAGGCGGTTACAGATGAAGGGGAGACGGGAGAGAACTCTCTAAAATAGGTTCTTCTGGTTGATCAGTCAACCAGCCCACCAACTGGTGGATCTAAATCCATCTGTGACTTTGATCATGTATTTCTCTGACCTTTGTCTCGTAGTGTGTCTTTCTCCTGCTGGGTGCTGCTTTCAGGGGCAGTCAGGTAGTCATGGAACTCCTTAAAACCGATCGACTGGAAAATCCCATGTTGATAGTCCTGACTGGAAAGGAGAGGAGAAGAGAGGAGGGGAAATGAAATATTATCCATCAGTAAAAAAAAAGTTTACATCTCCAACTTGACATTTCTAGACAAGCGGTGGTGACTCATTTCACCTTCTCCCCATCCTCTATCTCTCCTTCCCTCACTGAAAAAAGGGAGGGAAGTCTGAGCAGATGTGAGGCCCTTCAGGGGACAAAGTGACAGAATGACATTAAAAAAAACTGAATGGCACAGGCAGAGGGACCCACGGGTGCCGGGACTCAGTTGCCTGACCGGAGTGACATCAGGTTGGGGCGGAAGCCCACTGGTTACCTCGCCAGACACCAGAGACAGAACATTTCCATCAATGTCAGACTATATCACCCCAATTTGAGCGTTGCTGCCTGTTCTTGCCCAAGCTGTGCCTCTTCTGATTTTAGTAATAGCTCCACAATTGGTATGCGGGTTTACGAGGAATGGTCTGAACCTTTGCTGAGTTTGGAGAGTGATTGCAAAAATCGTAGAGGTCAGCTGTGGTGGCCTTTTTTTTTTTTTTTTTTTTTTAACACCTCTAGAAGAAAATGTTTTTTTCGATCGTAATAGTTGACTTGACGGATGAAAAATCAATTCTGCACCTATTTAGTGGAATACAACATTAACAGTTACAGTTTATGTGGAACGGAACGTGTACAAATAAATATTAGGGATGTGATGCAAAGCTACCATCTGTATCTGTTTATTATTTTACAAATGTATCTGGAGGGTTTAAGAGCAGGAAATAATAGTCAGAATTTCATCAGGTTACCACACATGATTGGTTGTGTTTATAATAAGAGGAGGCCCAGATGAGTGTAAAGTTGGTTTGAAGAATTTCTCATCTCTCTCAGCCATTAACTTCATGCTGCCAACTGCCAGGCTTGAATATCAGATCATGAGGAAAAAACAAGCTTCATCTTGCACTGCCCAACAAAATACTGGTTAAAAAAAGAAACACGGATAGAAAGTTGTCGATGATAAAAGACAGGGAATGTCTTAATGTTGACCTTAAAACTCCTCTGTGGTTTTAGCCCATAGCCTGTCCTGCTTTGGCTACCAGCAGTTCCCGTTCCCACACTGTACAGACAACGGTTGCTGGATTACTTTGATACTGAAGAAAAATTCAGAATCTCATCATCATGTGCCAAGATCTGAAGTTACAGAAGCACCTTCTGTCTTTCCAGACTGATTTATGGATGGAGATCACAAATCAGGGGTAGCCTACTACTGTAAAAATCAGATGCTGTTTACATTCAGAGCACATTATCTGTTCATATCCAAATTCTGTATTGATATTTGCTTATATCCCTAATAAATACTACAAGCACAAATAAACTGCAATTTAAGAGAACCTTGTACCATGTTCCCATAAGCCTGATTAAAAGGAAACAGCACGGTTTCAAAATGTAATTTGCATCTGCACAGATGTTAGTCATTTTTAATCCCATCATAGGCGGGCTGCAGTTCAGGCCATCACACTAAACATGTAAACTGGATCTCTTATTTTTATTTATCTGTTTTAGTTTTATTTGATACTGACTTTGATTCATAGACTTGATTTTATCTAATCTTTTGTTTTGAGTTTGCATATTCAGTGTCATCCTCACTTTTTTCCTATAAGTCACTGTTCTTGCTGTCAATTTTGTCTCTTTGTAGACCACACAAATTTCCCTTTTTAAACAGACTGTAGAACAAACATTATAACAAAAATAATGACTATTTTTGGTCCATAACTTACACTTGTAACAGAAACAAGAGGAGGAAATCACAAAAATAAATCTGGCTAGACGGGCAGAGACAGAAATTTGAGAATAGCGACAGAGCACAGGAAATGTAGAGTCAATGGAGGGAGAAAGAGGAAGACAGAGGAAGAGAGGGAGGGAGGCAGCGAGGGAGGGCGGGAGAGATTTGACCTTGATGTCTGGGCCACAGCAGCCAGCCGGGGATGGAGACATGAGGGTGAAGGAGAGAAAGACAGACAGATGGGGGGAGGGAGGGTAAAGTGCTTGGGTGATCAGATTGCTGAAAGGGCAATAGTGGCAGGGGGGGAGGGAGAGAGAGCGAGACAGGAGGAGGCTGCTGGTTGATGAGGTGGGATGGGGTGATGAAAGAAAGGAGGGACAAAAGAAGGGAATTGGCAGCTTCCTGGGCTCTGTTCCACCACTCCCCTGCAGCCACACCCCATCACACATATATAATACCCTTTTCTGCTGCCAAGAGAGACCCACAGCAGTGTTCACATACTGCATCTGTTTCAGCCATTAGTGAGGCTAAAAAAGACGTTTATTTAGATTTCTTATCACATACAGAATATACACATTTCTTATTCAACTACGACACGTCTTACTGGAACTTTGTTGCTCATGTTGTAATTTTTCCCAAGCAAATTCTACATTTGCTGCTCCACAGTAACCCAGAGATCGCACCACACAACACCACTCACAGTGCAGGAAACAGTGGCTCCATGCCGCTCACAGAGTGACGCAGCTCCACTATGCTACAGGTCATGTGGTTACTGTTAAGGAAATGTCAGGGACAACTTGGTAATTCTGAGAAGGACAAGAAATCAATCTTGATCATATTAACATTCAAATAGCATCTTTAACTGACAACATAGCACTGTAGGTAATTTCTTCCAGGGACACTAGAATGTCCATTCAGTATGGGATACAATGCTTGAGGCCGTGAGGTAATAAGCACCGATCACCAGACTCCCTTGGTAGTGCTACTGTCATAAGGAGGGGGCTTATCTCTGTAATTATTAATAATCACTGGACATCCTAAAGAATTACAATTCCCATCTGAGTTAAACTTGCAGCAGTGTGGGCTGCACAAAAATTGGTCTCCAGGCCTCAGGAAAACAACAGCGTACAGAACAGAGTGACCTGTCAGACTGGGAAGAAGAAATAAATAACTGGATAGCTGCTTGACTGAGTTCACTTCACTCCTATTGCCCTGGTTACATGGAAGAGGGGAGTAAAGTCTGGACCTAGACTGAAAGTCTGGACCATTAATCTAGGTAGGAGGATGAGAATGTGATCTTAAACTTGTTCCACAGACAAGCAACCCTCAGACCACCTCGTAATGCTCAACAGTAATGGCAACAGGGCCAAAGTCAAGTATGACATACGTTTTTGGCACGTATCCAGCATGTCTTGGCTTTATGAAGGGAGGATAATGCACCATTCCCATTAACGGCGCTGATTTTACACATTAAAGTCTGTTTACAGGTGTAGAGTATTACAGCATAAGCAAAAAAAAGTTGTAAAAAGCCCTTTGTGGCTCCAGAAGGAGCTGTGCGATCAATTGCTTCATGTGATGTCACTTGAGTCAACGTGGGTTTGGGCTAAAGTCTACCAAGTTTGAAATGAAAAAAAATCTGAGGATGTGACGTGAGATTACGTGCTTGAGGCTAGCAGCTAGATTCTACATTAGCTGCTACTTGCATAACACCCTAATCTCCGGTTTGGCCAGGAAAAAGAAAGATGACCTCTGGCTCTGCTGCATCAGTTTGATTATTTCCATCATGAGCACGACAATGTTACAAAAGTGCAATGCTAAGTCTATGCAGTACTCTTTTTTAAAAAAAAATGACTTCGGCGTCAACTAGATGTAATCCCTGCATTCTTTTCTAGCGATTCCCCTTCTTACAAGATCAGAACTGCAGACAAGATAAAATCCCAATGAACAACTATCAGGACAGATTATTAAACAATGATAACACTGGGTAAAAGATAATTCTTTGAGGATGAACAGGATCTTGTTTATTGGGATGGCGATGGAGCAGTGGATAAGATGCATGCCTTTGGTGTGAGAGACCCGGGTCCAACTCCCTAATGTGACACTCACCAATGTGTCCCTGAGCATGACACTTAAGCCCTAGTTGCTCCAGAGGCGTGCGACCTCTGACAGAAAATAACAATTGTAAGTCGCTTTGGATAAAAGCGCCAGCTAAATTAATAAATGTAATGTTATGTTTCAGGAGGGTGGACATGTTTTGCTGCTGATCTGATACCTGTCGTCCTGGACTTTCTGCTGATTGTAGCGGACATGGAAGTCTCTGAGCTCCTCTATCAGTCCAGTAGACAACATCTCATCTACACGAGCATCCAACCGCTTGTCTAGAGCTAGAGAGGAGCAGAGAGAAAAAATAAGACAGACATAGATGTAAAAAACAAACAAACTGGCATTTCTATTGTTTTGATAAATAGCGGTAAGAGTAAAATGAAAATCCATACAATCTTCCTTCCGTACCGTCCATGTCAGCATGCAGCCAGAGGATGCAGGGGTCTGGGTATCTCAGCGGCCCCCCAAGCCCATCACCTCCCTCCTGCCCCCTCTGCTCCTCCAGCCAGCGGCTATGGGGGATGCCTGTCTCCTCATGGATTTGAAGACTCCTGTAGATAACAAACAAGCAAGCAGATACAGTATGTTGTGGTTAAATCAAACACTTTCCCACTGAGACTCCATAGAGACACAACCAATCTGACGATATCCAGTATACTATGAGTTTCAGTTCAGTCCCTGTACAGTATGTCAGGCCTCAGTGGGTAAACTAGTGGGAGATTAGATAGAGAGTTAACAACCCACTCATCGGTTAAATCCAGTGTAAAAGAAAATCTCCATCCCTCGAAGGAACACATTTAGAGTTTAGTAGTAAACAAATGGTTTTAAATGTATGATGAAACAAGATACAGAATTGTCGTGTATGAAATCACTCTTTTTTCACACAGTTAACATTCAGCCAGGGCTAAACCAGACTTCTGAGATTCAAATCAGACTCTTATGCTGTGCCAAACTGCACTCTGAGGTTATGAAGAAAATATGATTCCTGTCGCCTCCTGTCATCCAGAAGAACAGGGTAACCTAACCTGCTCACACAAAAGATCAGAGTGCGCTGACTGCTACTCATCAAGCTGTGTGTGTGTGTGTTTGTGTACGCGCGTGTGTAAACAGACACCGGTCTTGTCAGCGTAGATTGGGTGGAGGCCATATACTGTGACTGTCAGCCTGAGACGGGGCAAGGACCTCATACAAAAGTCAAGGAAATACTGTGAGCCACTCATACACACACACAAACAAAAATGACGAGCTACACCCACAAACACTACACCATATTGTTCTGAAGGTGAAAAGAGCCTTTTCCCCATTCTAATCTTGTAACAATGCTGTCATTTTGAAGTAGAGGCGCTTGTGTTAAAATGTTAACAATGTTTAAAGTACATTAATTTGGACAAAGTCAAAATAGTTTCACATTAAACACTCGAGACAATGTGTGCGTTTTCATTTAGGTGAAATTAGTGTTTTGTTTTGGGGCAATAACACAGTTGGTGGTGGCTCATTTATAATGATAATATAACTGAATTCTTAGTTTGTGGTGTGTTTGTATGTTGACCTAAAATTACTGCATTATAAAAGGCAATTTAAGAAGTGCGAGATGATGCTACAATTCAAAATTCAATCACATAAAGCAGCAAGAAACCAAGAACAAGAACAAGAGCAAACCTGAAGACATTAACCTACCGAAGTGAATATCTGTTACTACAGCCCCATGTGGAAGATTTAAAGATTTAGCGAGCAGCTAACACCTCAAACTGCATTTTTCTAATGCTAATGTTGCTAGTGTTTCGTTTCCTATTTGTCATTCAACAAGCTAGCAAAAGCAACAAAATATCTATAGAAAATGTGACTATCACACTATTTCTTTAGATAATTTGACTGTACTCGATGCTAGCACAAACCAATAACTTTGTAGAAGGATGGACTTATTATCATCTATGGCTAATGATAACTAAAAATGGATAAGTGCAATTATTTTATGTAGTAACTTTTCATGTGTAATTTTGATAAATAATTTCTCACAGAATGCTTTAAGAGAAATATTCAATATTCAAAACTATTTCAGGTTTCTAAAAAATACCCAGCTGATTTATTTGTTACTAGACATTCAGTGTAATGAAGACATTACCAGCTGTATCACCTGGCTATCTTGCGTTTGTCGTTGGGGTGCAACATGGCAGCCATTTTGGGGTCCACCTCTGCCAGCCGTTTGTGTAACTCAGCTCCTCCCAGTTTCTCCAGCTCCAACTTCCTGTTTGAAACCCCATCTCCCCTGTCCCCTGACTCCTCGTTTTCCTGCTGTGAGACAAGTTGAACATTTCATTTAACATTTTAGAGTTGAAAAAAAGCTACCTTCAACTACTCCTCTTAAATGCCTACTTTTCTTAATATGTCCCGTCAGAACAGTGCTTTGGGTCTCACCCAATATTGGTAATAACTGATAGTGTTTGGAGGTGTATTTGAGTTGTACATTTGCGGCACTCACCCCGGTATCCAGCAGGACTCTCCACAGCAGAGACTCAATGTAGTAGTTTGTTCCTCCTACAATGACTGGCAGTTTGCTTCTGCTGTGCATGTCATCTATGTTGGAGTGAGTTAAGGAGCGAACTGATCTGTGCACATTTATCAATATGAATTCCAGGGTGGTTCCTAATTTTTAGAGTTTTGACATGAATTATGATGATGCAACAATAAAAAACATTTTGAAATGACCTGTTGAGCTCATTTAATCACATTCACACCATCATGGCATTTAAAAAAGCTCCAGCTGGTTCTAATTCAGTTAGTCACAAAGGCTGCCAGTCGCATGTGGCTTAATTGCATTCAGCTTCTCTGGCTATTAATGTTTACTGTACATTTTTAAATCATGTTTCTGCAATGGTTTTTTATTCAAGAATGCAGGAAGGTATCCAGATGAGAAAGATAATTGATTTTTTCTTTTTTGTGTTGTTACTTCAAATTTAAAGTGTTCAAATTACAAGGCCGGTTACAGTTCCACAGAAAATTAATAGTGAAAATCTAATATTTAGGTGGAGTAAGTTTTTTTCAGAATATTTAACTTGGAAAAACAATGTTAACAAAATGATAAATGAAATACTATAGAATGACAAAAGTGCAGCTTTTTGGCTTGTAATCACTTGAAGTAAAGCATTGTGTGCTTGTGACACCTTGTCACAGGTGAGTCCTCACTTTGTGTCATTTAAATAAATGTTCCATTCCTGAAGAGGTGACAAGGTACAATGTGTAATATTTGGCTGGATTTTAGTTCAAGATAATTCAAAAAATAAACTAACATGATCAACTGAATGTGAAGAAGTGACAGCTGTAATGTACTAATGATATCTAGTTAAAATGCTAACCAGCTAGCCGCATCCCATCCTGTGTTGTAATACCACTTGTGCCTCGAGGTGTTAGTGAGACACTGTAGAGTCTAGTCTGCCCTCAGTCCAACATGAGAGGACGAAGATGTACAGCTGCCCAGAGGGCTTGTCAATCAATGCTGCTGCACGGGTTCTGATTCTCCCTGACCTCTTAATCCTCCGCTAACTCTACTTTTTTGTCTCCTTCCCTGTCTCTGACTGGGCTCTGAAGCGCTTCCTTTCAGCGCTCATGTTAACCAACTGGGCTGCTCAGACAAAGCTAGCGGCGTAGGTACAGCAGCGAGTGTATCTGTCAGGAAAAGACACTGATAATCTACTAATGATCTGATTATGACAAATGATTAAATATGTAATAGCAAGTTTTTTTAATTGCATACTTATTGCACATATTTGTCAGTTGTGTCTAAACAGTGACAGGGAGGAGCAGGACAGGGCGATGGTCCTTTTAACTTCATTACTGCTTCTTCTGCAGTAATGAAGGAACACATAAAAAGCTTCATTTTATGAGATTACTATAAAGATACATGCTACATGTGATTAGAAAAGAGCAGAGGAGCAGAATCACTTAAAGAGTAGCCGGCTGAGGGGGAGGAGGAGGTGAAATGCCCCTGATCTCAAACTCAATATCAGCCACTCAGTTTGGTTCACCTCCCACAATCAGCACAAAAATATCAATATTGGATTTTTACAACGGCCTGCCTGGTCACACAGACAGAGCCTGCTAGCCACACTGTGTTTCCCTTTCTCTCCCCTTTTCTGTCACATCTTCTCTCATCTTGCACCTTTCCGTCCCTCTCCTCCTCCCTTGCCCCCCCTTCTGTAATCAGGAATAATCAAATAACCACTCAAACAAGATAAAGGCCCATCAGCCATCGTCACCCACCTCCTCCCTCAATCTCTCCTTCTCTCTCGCGCGCGCACAAACACACACACACACGCACAGACACACATCGTCTGCATCGCTGTGTTTGCAGGGACGCGGAGCAGGAGATGGGAAAGACGGTGAGATTGATCGCTGACATGCGGCGAGGAAAATCAAGGGAGGTACAAGAGAAAGAGGGCTGGAAGAGAGAGTTCTAAAAGAGAAACAGAGGAGTGGTTTGGATAGAGGGGGTTTATGTGAGTCGCATGTTGAGTAAAGGGTTGATAGCTACTGATGCGTCATTAGGTCCTGCGTCTTTGAACTCCTCAAGCATGTCAGCCTTTTCCAGCTGTCACACACACCCTCCTCCCTCCCTCCCTCTTTTTCCCCTCTATGGTCTCTCTTCCCTGCTTTATGGTTGGAAATCCTCCACACCGCTTCTATCCCTACTAATCTGTATTCATGTCTTTCCATTTCTCCCTCTTCCCACCAGCAGGCTGCAGTGAGCCTATTCTTAGAGCTACCGCATCCCCTCACCGCACTGGTGAGTATGAGAGTGAGTGAGTGAGTGAGTGAGTGAGTGAGTGAGTGTGTGAGTGAGTGAGTGAGTGAGTGAGTGAGTGAGTGTGTGAGTGTGTGAGTGTGTGTGTGTGTGTGTGTGTGTGTGTGTGTGTGTGTGTGTGTGTGTGTGTGTGTGTGTGCGCGCGCATGCCTTCCTGATCTATTAATACCGTCTCTGGTTATCACCTCCTCTCTCCACATCTGTGTGGCGGCAGGTGTCTGCAGGAGGGTGTGACAGTTCAGAGAGTGTGTATAGACACACCGCAGACACGGACTCCATAAATATCGCGTCTAGTGATCTATCTCTTCACATTTTCACCACAACATCTGCAGAGAGAGACGCTGACAAAACGAGGACATAGCAGATCTTCCAAACACATACACCCACACACAAACACAAACCTGCAGACCAATTAGTGAAGTCAAACCAACTGAGATACCATTTAATAATCTGGGGTGGGGTGGGGGGTGATGATAGCAGAGGTGATAGCAACGTGTGATAAATATTGCTCCTCTGCCTTAACTTGTTTCCAGGAAAGGATATTAGAGCCAGGGCTTTGTTCCTGAAGTCCATCACCGTGTAGCTGCTAACTAACGGGTCCACAAAGCTGATCATGTGATGTCTGCACTGGGCACGCTCCTCAGCTGTCACCTTATTGGTGATGATGTCGAGGCCCTGATACACCTGGAGGGGAAGCCAAAAAAACAATAAAGTCAATGAGAACCATCATTTAAAATAAATGTTTTATAGGCAGGTATAATTACAATATGATAACATATGGAGGAATTAAAAATAGAAATTGTAATAGCAACTGCATCACATTCTATACTGAACTCCGTATTAAATAAGTTTAATGGAAATTCTTTGTCCTAGAAAGCATAAAACCCTGGACAACACTGAAAAAAACAAAAACAAATAGGGCAGGAGATTGAAATCTATGTTAGTGGAAGGATGTATGTGAATGTGTGTATTTGTGTGAACATGTCAGAAGCTGGAAGCAGACACTTATAGAGGAAGGAATAAGGAGCGCAGTTTGTCGTCCCTGTAAAATCACTCGGACCATTCCTGCAAATTACGATCCACACCTCCGCTGTCCATTTTACATCACCCAGCAAGGAAGCTCCCTCGTGGAATTTGACAGCTGGGCGTCATACAGTAGTCAGTCATGAGAGAGTTTTATAAGGGATGCCTCAGGGATGCAGGGGACTTTTTAACAGGGCTTGTCTTTCTAGAGGCCCTTTTCTATCCTTTAAACGTCAATGCCTTGTTTTCCTTTGGTCCATGCCCTTGATTATTCTGAAAATCCAACTGATTAGGTTCCTTTTGGAGTATATGCGCAAGATTTATGTCTGTTTCTGCATTTGTAATATGGACTGGAGACACATTTATGCTCTCAAAGTGATCAAACGTCATTGTAAATTGAGTGTATCTACACTTCTGTGTTATTTTATTACCACCCAGAACATGTAACCCCAGTCATTAGATGACACAAGATTAAGTTTTCTGGATAATTGTATGAACTGAGTGGTCAATAGCGGAAAAAAGCAAAGCCTCGATTCTTGTTAGTTTTAGAAGTGCCTTCTCCCAAATGCGTGCACAACAGAAACTTTATTTGGTTATATTGTGAAGCTTTAACTACTTTTTTTATCCCCATTATGATTTTTTCCCCCATAAGCATGGTACAGCGTAGAAACAGAACTGAATCTCGCATCATTGCAGTTTATGGACACCATTGATCATATTGCAGATGGCAAAGTATCGACATCTCCCCACATCTGTCATGTAAATACACCTCTATGGCCCTTGTCCTCTGCACAGCATCTGTGTGTAGTCTACCATCAACCATTCAAAGCAGGTGTGTGGCTCTGAAAGTGAATCAGGCTGAAGTTGCCAGCAAAACTTGATGAAACCCTTTTGAGTGAAAAAAACTATTTAAAAAAAACAATTTTATTCTGAAACCTCTGTTTGGATTCAGCCTTGATTTGAGTAAAAAAAAGCTTGGTGAAGCACTCTATTGTTCAACAATTCAGAGAAGGAAAATACATCCTTTAATCATAAGCAGTCAGCTGGCTATTGGCAGTGAAGCACAGTCCCAAATGAACACACTAGTATTATTTTTACACCATGAAAGAATGGATGAAGTCACTCTTGACTTTAACTTGTTAGCTTATTTTACCCTTTGTGACAATAATAAAAATTTCATGACAAACAATGCATTGTGGAAAGAGTTTTTTTCCCATTTCAGACTCCAGCATTTCACTGAGTAGAATCTTTGTGAAGTTAGGTCAGCTGAGATGTGGGCTTCACGTGGGGCTGTAGTAACAGATACTCAGCATTTAGACTTTGGAAAGTCTTTTTTTAGCCTTTCCACAACCACAAGAGCAAAAGTTTAAGGATTGGATTAAACAGTGGGTTCATCTGCTTTAAAATAGGCTGCAATCATTGTCAGAACTAGCTTAGTGCCTACAGTAGTAACAGAGCGTTTCTTCAAAGTAGGGATGCGTTCGGTCCAGTCTATGGTTCGGCCACCGAGCAAAAAAAAAAAAAAGAAGCATTTTCGGTGTTTGGCCTTGTAAGTCAAAAGACCGAATAAATTTTACTGAACAATTACGTTGACATGTCGGCAGTGTGGAAGCATTTTAAACTGTCAGAGAAAGACGCAAAAATTGCCATTTGCAGACACTGTTCTGCTGAATTATCTCCTAAGAAGACTTCTGAGAAAAGGCAGCAAACGGTCTGACCCGCTCTGAGTGTTTCTGTCACTCGTTTCTGAGAAGGCGATTTAGCTAGTTGCACCTAAATTTGGAGTGCACGCGTATTACAGCCTTTATGGTATATCCACTGAAACGGACCAGAGTGAGCTGACAGGCAGGTTAGCGACTTTCTCCTGTCATTTTCTGTCTTTACATAGACAAGTGTTGCAGTATGACAGTCCTACCCGAAGAGAGATGTGAAGTTTTCATTTTGCGCGATAGGAGAACCACATACAATATAATTTAGCAAATTGGGTCGGACTTGATGAATTTAGCACAAGGATACACATGTGACAACGCCCGGTTTTCAAAATAAGGTTTGTATACAGTATGGAAAAAAGGTTAATTGGATTATATTCACAGAAATTTTAAAACATATTACATTTGTCCATTAAAAGTAAATGAACATGTAATTTACTTTACCAGTCCCATTTGGGCCTCTGACCTATCCACAATAGATATAGAATAGAATAGAAATTTTTATTATGTTTGGCTTCGGCCAGGAATTTTCATTTTGGTGCATCCCTACTTCAAAGACCAAGAGTTAGCACATTAACAAACTACTTCTACATTAGCCCTGTTAGCGACCAGCACATTTATTGTGTAGCATTTCCTCACTGTGTGGACGTTCTGGATGCTATCAGAGTGGAGGCTAACGTTAGCAGCTCCTGCTATTAATTGGATTAAGGGACGTTTATGCTCCATTATGTAAGGCTAAAGTAGCTGTGTGATAATAACAACATTAAAAAGTCAGCTGGAGAGAGCATGGAGCGAACATTAGTTAATTAAGCTAACTACTAGCTAGCTACAGCTGACAAAATCTGCTAGCAACAGTTGTCATTTCTGTCAACAAAATCGACGGCCAGATATGGAAATGCGAAACCTGTTTTTATCTATTTCTGTCTGAAATCAAGGACCGATTGTTTTGCAGATGAGATTAGACTTTCAAGTGATAAATCTGTCTATCACTGTAAACTGCATATTTGCTGTGCAAGAGTGAAAAACTTGACAGTTGTAACAGTAACTGAGGTGAGCAGAGCTCAATGAACCATCAGTTTCTTTTGCCCCCATAGTTTATTTCTCCAAGATTATCTGACTTTGTCATTTTTCTTCATTCTTGATTTCAGATTTTTTTTATTTTTAGTGTTTTAAATGCTTACTTTTTACATTAAGAGTTTCAGTTAACTTTCCTTGAATAACTATGACCTGGATGACTGATAATCTTCATAGACATCCTTCAGATTAACAGTTTTCATGTCAAATGTCTACTTTAAACATATTTTAGACAAATTTTTGTCATGTCAGAGTATGGCACAACATAGGGAGATACATTAGGGAGAACCAGACAGCACAATTTTATTTTGTCTCAACTTAGTTGTTTAGTTTAGGAAGTATTTTGTAGAGCAAGGCGTGCCCCCATCTTCTTGAATACTCCTAACTTTGTTACCGAGCATCTTCCAGTAGTCTAAATCTTGTATTTCAAGCCAACAACATTACAGGCTGTTTAACCCAACACATATGCATTTGGGTAATCGATACAGTTGTGAAGGTTATTGATCGCATCCTTTGGTGCGTGTGTGGGTTTGCGTGTACTTCACCAAATGTTTTTCAGCGCCGCAGCAAGCCAAAAGTGGCGAGCTAGGGCAGGGCAGAACAACCCAGCCTGATAAATTATTCACGGCTTCTCCGCACGACACCGCTGCCAAGTCAAGGGAGGGATGGGTGCATGGATGGATGGTTAAGATGAAGGAGATGGAGAGCAAATGAAGGAGGGTGAAGGTTTGAAGAAAAAGGGCGCTGAAAAGGACGAGAGAGAAAAGGAGATGAACAGACAGAAGAGCGCTGTGTACTTGTTAGAGAGAACAGGATGCTCCCTGATAAATCTGCACACATTATCCACCACCAGCCCTCATTTGCCTTCACTTCTCTCTCTATCTCACACACACAAACATACACAGATTGTACAGAATGAAGACAGAATGACAGGTAGCAGAAGGATGGCAAAATGATGGTGAGAGAAAGACAGAGAGAGGCACTTCGAGTAAGGTCACGTGTCTCTCATTCTGAACCACACACACACCACCAAATTAACACACTATTGGTTTCACACATGGTGAAAAGACAAAAGCTCTTGTTAAACACACACAAAATGTCTCTTTCTATTTTGAGCACTTTAAGGACTACTCGTCCATCTTGGCTTAAAATTATAGATTTCATGACAACCGGGTACCTGCTGAAGCATGCGATATGACCGACAGCTGCAGAACAGCTACTAAATGGACCTGGTAAGATTTTGTCAACTACCATTTTCCAAGTCTATGACCAAAAGTTAGTTCTACTATCATCCAAGTTGATTTACAGCATTTTGCATTCTTTCCCCCCAGCAATAATGAAGTTTCCTCTCTTCCATATGTCTTCTCCCTCCTCACAATCCCTCTCGTGTTGTCCATTCTTACCTGCCACTGAGAGAACACAGCTAATCATTATGTAAACACTCCTTAATGTACATTTATGTGTTCTCGGGAGAGAGCGCTGTGAAAACAGTTTGCAACGATTTTAATTTCGCCTTAACAAGGACAAGGAGACCCGAGAGTAAAAGCAGGCAGGGGGAGAAAAATGAAAAGAGCCACTTGAGTGGAAGATATGAGGAGAAAAACGCTTTGAGGGAGGAGCTGCAAATGAGAGAGAAAATGAGCAAGAAATGAAGACTTACAATCGAGGCAGCTGAAAATGAGCTACAATTTGCGGCGATGTTAGAGCTCAGAGTCGTAAAGGAATCAAAGATAAAGATCACCATAGCTAATCGTGACAGATGTCTTCTGGAGGAAACTGAAAGACGAAGTCACAATGAAAGGAGGCGACTGAAAGTAAAGTAAAAGGTGAATTTTCTTTTATCATCTAGGCTGGAGGGAAAATGTAGAATACTGTCAT